TCCAATCACAGCAGTTAGCAACTTTTTAATAGGATAACCTAAATATGTCGAAGTCTCAGTCCATAAACTCTTCTGCAGACCATTGCTTGACAACAAACATCGATCCTCCTCCAACAAAACACGGTTTTCCAAATTTATCACCCTATCTAGTTGCCCCAAGATTTCCTTTCCAACAAAGTGTCTCGAAATGCCGTGAGCTCGGCTCCAATACAGAAACAGGTCCATCTTGTACCTCCCATCAAGATCAGAATGTAGTACCTTCACCTTTCTGTCCATCTTACACTTCTTCAAACTGTTAGAGACTACTAGAACTTTTTCCAATGGGGATTTGGTTGCAACCCAAACACGCCTAGAACAATCACCAACAAAGGAAACCAAACTTCTATTACCTCCCAATGATGCCCCCTTGGAAGGCCCCCAAACATCCATGTGAACTCCTCCAGAACGACCCTTAGCAAGGTGAATAGATGTGCCAAATTTCACCTTGGTCTTCTTGCTCACATCAATATGTTCACTGAACTTTAAACTGCAGGTCTTCGCATTCTCTTTCAATCTATGCGAGGAATCAATACTTAAATGGCCAAGCCCCAAATGCCGTAGTCTAGTTAAATTAATAGAAGTCGCTAGTTCTCCACCTGCCTCTATACCTCCAGTCAAGTAATATAGGTTATTCCTCCTGACGCCCTTCATCACAATCCGAGAGTCTTCCACAATCTTGAGAACCATGTCCTCAAATCGAACATTCAGACCCTCTCTAACCAAAGCTCCAATCGAGATCAAGTTCTTCCTCAAAGAATGAACATATATCACATCATTTAACTCCCTAACAGTCTTATCAAACATTTTTATGCGAATTCTTCCTATCTCAAGGATCTGGTATGCACGGTTATCAGCCATGTACATCACACCACTATCCAGCTTCTCAAAACTGGAGAACCATTCCCTTCTAGGGCACACATGATAGGTCACACCACTATCCAACATCCATTCGGATTCCTCCGAATAGCTACACGTAGGACTGATAGAAAGTGAATAAATAGAAGAGTCAGAAATATTACCATCCAATACGATGTTTGCTTCTGATGATGGTTGCTTTCCTTTTCCCTTCTGTTTATTCTTCATCCATTCGTCGAGCTTTGGACAGTCTTTCTTCCAATGACCAGTCTCCTTGCACCAAGCACACTGATCTTTTCCAATTGTAGCATGTCCTACTCTAGACTGTGACTTCTAATTCTTCCAGTTTGGACCCTTCCCTCTTGCGACCAACGCCTCCGCTACCGGCTCAACTGAAGCCTCCTTATCCTTCTTTCGAAGCTGATAATTCACAAGTGCAGCGATGACCTTACTATACGAAAGGGTTGTCTTCCCATTAATAAGAGTAAGGACGAATGTCTCATATTCCTCGTCTGGCAAGGAGCTCAACAACAGCAACGCCTTATCCTCATCTTTAATTATGACATCCACATTCGTCAAATCCGTAAGAAGCTTTGTGTAGGTATTCATGTGATCTCTAATTGAGGTTCCCTTCTTCAACTGGAAACGATAAAGTCATGTGATCTCTAATTGAGGTTCCCTTCTTCAACTGGAAACGATAAAGTCTCCTCTTCAAATGCAAGCAGTTCTCAACACTCTTTGTCAGACGATAAAGTCTCCTCTTCAAATGCAAGCAGTTCTCAACACTCTTTGTCAGATACTTGCTTTCGAGAATATCCCAAATCTTCTTTGCAGAAGTCCCATTCATCACGTCTTATTTTAGATCTTGAGTTAAACAAGACCTAATCATACCACACGCAGTTTGATTCATCTTCTTCCAAACTTTCTCTTCAATGTCATCTGGCTTACCATCTAACTCTAATGTATCCTCCAAATTCTGCGCGTTCAGCGCATCCAAAACCTCGCATCTCCATAATCCAAAGTTGTTTGTGTCATTAAATTTCTCCACATCTATCTTCATAGAGTGGATATTCAAACTCTAAATGGTCTTCGTGCCAGAAGCACCACCCTCGACACCCGAAGCACCTTCTTTCCCCGACATCTTTCTCAACGCACCAACGAATGAAGAATAGATCCAAAACTGAAAAGATAGAGTCTTTTACCAAAAGATCCCACCTTTATCACCAAACAAAGCCCTAGACGAGCTTTCAAATCGATCTACTCCTCCAAATAGCCCAAGCGTAGCCCGAGCTCTGATACCACTTGTTGTGCATAGTAGAAATTTTGGTAGAGTTTCTGGTGCATAATAAGAGAGAAAGATCAATAAGAATTCACGTCTCACTAAGGAAACAAGAATCTGAAACGAATATCTCAACAAAGTAAGATATCGGCTCTTCCTCTCATTATTTCTAGGACTGACTTGTCGAGGGATCCTAAAACTATTACAATGGCCACAAATACAAACAAATCAATTTTTACGTGGTTCAGCAAACTGTCTACGTCCACGGGGCAAGGAGGGGGATCTACTATTAGAGAGAAAAAGAATACAAATGGGTTTACAACTCTCACAATCTAAACCCTCAAATAGGCTCATTGCTTTTCTTCTCAAGAAAATGTCAGCCTCCAAAATTCTTTTTCTCTTCACAAAGCCCTAGGATTTCCCCTGCTGCAGTCGCCAAAACAGAAGCCCTCTTTTGCTTTTTCTCCGTAGCCACAAAACCTCTATCCTTTGCCCAGCCCCTGCGCACCGCCCTAGGAGAGAAACAAAGCTATATATATAGCAGATGATATTAGGTAATCGGGTTTTGTCCACTGGACTCATCGCTTTACATGGCTTTTCTTACGCTCGTGGTCCCCACACAATCTTCTTATGCATTTTCGCTAGCTGGCCAATCTCTTCCTGCAGCAGGTGTCACTTCACGCGGCTATGAGAAGCAATTTCGAAGCACTTGCTTTTCCTCACGAGAAAAGTTCCGCTTGTGGCCCCCACAGTGTAGGGGTGGGCATGGGCTAGACCGGTTCATGTCGTGACCCAGCCTGCCAAGTTTAAGGATGAGCGAGGCCTAACATGGGCCCGACCGGGTCAGAGTGGGCTGGGTTTATTTCTCTAATCCCGGGTCTAGTCTAGGACTAGACCCATCTTGGCCCATAACCCGCCTAGGTGCAGGGCGGGTCTGATGGGTCATGGGCTGGCTCAAAGTTTTTTTCAAAGTTTTTTCCTATTTTTTTACCTTTTTAATTATATAAAATTTATATTTACAATTATAAAATTATTTCTTATTTATTTTTAATAGTTAACTTGCATTAAACTATTTCTAAACTTGCATTAAACTTTTTAGTCCTTCCAAGTAGACAGCAGCGAGTTTAAAGATCGTTGCTTTGTTTCTCAGTGGGCCAAAATGCCCACATGTTAAAGACCTATGACCTTTTAGATTTGTGGGCAACTAGCTGCAGATCCAAAGGGCTAACAAAATAACTAGATAAACCAAAAAATATATCATAGGTCGGGGCGAGTCAAGCACGGTCGGGTCTACGTGGGTTGGGTCAGCATGGGTCGGGCCTACTTCTCTAACCTCAGATCTGAGTTTGGACCCGGCTCGGCCCATGATCCGGGTATATCATGGATCGGATCAAGATCGTGACCCATGACAACCTGGGCCGGGTCAGCTTACAGGTCGACCCGACCCACACCCAACCCTACTTTTGTGTGCTACCTACACGAGAAGTACAAAATTTTAACACTTTTTAAAGGAGAGGACCAATTTGGGTATATTAGTGTTGGAGCTTGTCATTAGTTTAGAGACTTTGATGGGTGACTAAGGAATACCATACCAATCTAGGTTTAAGATGCTATAATTACATGGAGCACGGTATCATACCAATTGCGTTCCTTTCCAGGGACAGAAGAGAGATAACATTTTCAATCCTCACCACTATCAAAAAAATAGTAAAGAAAATATTAATTTATTGTAGTCCGTGACTGCCTAGTGGATTGTTATAATTTTATATTTAAATGCAAATTGGAATATCAAGAATGTGTGCAATTCATGAGAGAATAATAATTGTTAGATTAAGAATAAATCACAATCCTTCACTAGATAATAAACACTTGTAATAAGAAAAATTAGGAGCGATTAGATAGGCGTATTTTAGTAGGCGAATTCTTCCCTGCTATTTTGCGCTCCCGCCGGGATTGAAATGGCAAAAAAAAAGAAAAATAATGGAAAAAAATTCTAAAAATTAGATTTAGTGCTTCAACCTCTAATTCTCTTCTTCCTGTTGATTCAGATACTGGATCCTTGGAGGATGATGAGGATTTCTTGGATCTAATGGGGTCAACAGTGCCAAAGGGGGAGAAGAAAAAAAGGCTAATGGTGGATATATTGAAGGATTCGACCTCTGGATCTCATCGGGATCGGGATCTGATGGAAGATAACTTGAAGGATTCGACCTCTGGATCTCATCGAGATCAGATTTCGTCCCCGACGTTCATCGGATTTCACTCTCGTCAGCTCAAAGGTTCTCGATCAGATGCTGATGCTAGCGGTGCTAAAGGATCTCCTGATTCACACCCTGTAGCTTACGGATCTGGTAAGATCTCTTGGGCTGATGAAGTTGATTTTGATATTTCTAGTTGTCATCAAAGCTTATCTGCTAGATCACTAGATGCTAAATCACAGCTGGAGAATGTGATTTTAGTTCTTGACGATGTTACTGTTGCATCGAAAACAAAAGTGAAATCTATTGATAGCTCTGTTGCTACTAATGCTATTAAACTCCTAATTAATTCTCTGGATCCTATTTCTAAGGAAATTCCAGTAAATCTTGAGGGGAAAAACAAGAAAAGCTGGGCTAGCTTATTTGCCGATAATAGAAAAGTTGGTAGTGGCATGAATCTGAATTTTGTTAACCCTGAAGAAAAAGATTTTGTGGCTTTTAATGAAGAAGAATGGAATGAGGGTAACTCAAACTGGCAATTCTAGATTTTGTGGCTTTTAATGAAGAAGAATGGAATGAGGGTAACTCAAACTGGCAATTCTCTTTAATTGGTCAAGTTTTAGGCCTAAATGTCAAATGAGGGTAACTCAAACTGGCAATTCTCTTTAATTGGTCAAGTTTTAGGCCTAAATGTCAAATTCAAGACTATGGAAAGCTACATTCAAAAGGTGTGGACACACTGGTCAGTTCCTGATTTGTGTATACTTAAGCCAGGTTTGTTTTTGTTCAAATTTCAAAACAAATACGAAATGGAGGATATTCTTATGAATGGTCCTTGGTTTTTTGGTTCAAGGCCCCTACTATTGAAAGTCTGGACTAATGATGATGATATTGACAAGATGAATGGAAATATCTATCCCCTGTGGATTCAACTTCCTGGTTTAAGACTGAATCTTTGGAGCTCAAATGCCATAAGCAAGATTGCTAGTCATATAGGTAGGCCTATTGCCACTGATAAACTCACTGCTAATAAGCAGAGATTGGCATATGCAAGGGTCTTGGTTGAGGTTAATATGCCTTCCCCCCTTCCTGATCTGATTCCTATACATGGACCAAATGGAAAGATTATAAATCAAAAAGTGATATATGAATTAAAACCTAAATGATGTGAAAATTGTAAGATGGTGGGACATGATACAACCTATTGCAGGAAAAATCCTAGGACACAAATATGGAGGCCAAAAGAGAAGACTGTTAATGCTGGAAATGTTGCTTCTGGTGATTTGAACAAAATGGCAGGTAATGATGCTATGACAGTTCAAACTCTACAACAAGAGCATTTTTCTGGGTTGCAAAATACATCCAAGCTGTCTGGAAATAAAACAACTCAGATAAGTGGAGTGATCAGGGGGGAAAATGTTATGCATGCTGTGCATGTTTCAGAGAACCTTACAGGCAAAACTACTGTTGGGCAAACTTCTGAGAACTCATTTTCAGTAAGTAAATCTTCTCTGGTTAGGTATAGTCAGGATAAAATTGTTGGTGTTTCCATAAGCTCTCAACCTATAAAGTCAAGGCTCATTATGCAGAAATCTGCCCTTAGAGTTTTGGGAAATTCTTTTGATTATCTTAAAGACATGGATGATAATCCCTGGGGCTTTACAAGTTTATGAATTTCTCTTTTTGGAATATTAGAGGACTAAATAAGTCTTCTAAGCAGCATCTTGTTAAGCTTCATATTCAACAGTATTCTATATCTTTTATGGCTCTATTTGAAATAAAAATCAAGACTGGTAAACTGCCTATTGTATCTAAGAATATTGCTAACACCTGGAAGTGGTTTTCAAATGATCATAACTCTAGCAAAGCTAGAATTCTTCTTCTTTGGGATCCTAATAGCCTGGAAGTTCAAATTGACAGTCAATCATCTCAACATATCACTTGCTTGGTTAGATCTTTTGATGGCAAGATTAATTGTCTTATAACTTCAATATATGGTCATAATCAACTGGAAAATAGAAGAGATCTTTGGCAGGAGCTAAATCAAGTCAGGATATCTGCTGGAAATAAACCTTGGATTCTTTGTGGTGACTTTAATACTATCACTGATAGTGCTGATAAACTGGGTGGTGCAGTGGTAACTGAGACTGAAACTATGGATTTCAGGGATTTCATTGATGATTGCCACCTATCTCACATGAAAACAGAAGGCTGTCATTTTACTTGGAATAACAGGCAAGAAGCAAACTCAAGAGTTTGGAGTAGGTTGGATCGAGCCTTGGTAAATGATGCTTGGTTAAATCTTTATAATTCCAGTCAAGTGGAATTTTTACAACCTAGTTGCTGAGATTGTTCTCCAGCTTTGGTTTCAATTTATGATGATTGTGTTCAAGGTAAAAAGCCTTTTAAATTTTTCAAGATGTGGATTAAGCATGAAGATTACATTCCCACCGTCTCTTCTATCTGGAAAACATCTATTACTGGCTGTAAGATGTACTCTGTTGCTAGCAAACTGAAGCTTTTGAAGGTTGCTCTGAAGGACCTCAACAGGAAAAATTTTCATAATATAAGTGAACAAGTAAATAGGGCAAAGATAAATCTGGATAAAGCTCAAAGCAATCTACAAGCTGATCCTCTCAATTCAGTACTTATTGCACAGGAGAAAGAATGCACATTCACTTTTAACAGATTGTCGGAGTGTGAATTGTCTTTCTATCAGCAAAAATCAAGGATTCAATGGATTGTGCAAGGTGACAGATGTACAAATTACTTTCATTGTTCAATCAAGGCTAAGAGGCATCTTAACAGAGTAAATCTACTTTATAATAGTGCAGGTGACAAGATTACTGATGGTGAGGGAATCATTCAAGAGATTATCTCTTTTTATAAGAGTCTTATGGGATCAAAAACTGTTACTCCAAAGCCTGACTGTAATGTCATTTGCAATGGGGCTTGTTTAAATGAAGCACAAGCAATTGCACTCTCCTCTGCTGTGACTAGGGATGAAATCAAAAATGCTATTTTTTCCATGGATGATAATAAAGCTCCAGGTCCCGATGGATTTAATATGTCATTTTACAAGTCTGCATAGAGTATTATAGGAGATGAGGTTTCACAGGCCATTCTTGATTTTTTCAGAACTGGGAAGCTCCTTGGTATGATAAACTCTACTTCCATATTTTTAATCCCTAAAGTGAAATGCCCTAAGACCCCTTCTGATTTCAGACCTATAGCTTGTTGTAATTACCTATATAAGATCATTTCAAAAATTCTAGCTAACAGGATTAAGTCAGTAATGGGTTTTTTGATAAATGAGGCTCAAAGTACATTTGTTAAAGGAAGGCAAATATCAAGTAATATCTTGATGGCTCATGAGATTGTAAGGAGCTATGGCATAAAACATAATTCACCCAGGATTATGATGAGTATAGATATCAAGAAGGCTTTTGATACTATAAATTGGGATTTTCTTAAAGATATGCTTACAGGTCTTGGGTTTCCTGATATTTTAACAAATTGGATCATGGTGTGCATTACATCCCCAAAGTACTCTATTTCTTTAAATGGCACTCTTCATGGATATTTTAAAGGAGAAAGGGGTTTGAGACAAGGTGATCCTATCTCTCCTTATTTGTTTACATTGGGTATGGAGTTCCTGTCAAGAAAATTGGATATGCTTAAAGTGGACAGATCTTTTAAATTCCATCCTAGATGTGGTAAACTAAAAATCACTCATCTAATATTTGTGGATGATCTCCTCCTCTTTTCAAAGGGTGACATACATTCTGTTAAGCTTCTTTTCAATTGCTTCAAGGAGTTCAGTGAGGTATCAGGACTGGTAGCAAATCCAGAAAAATGTAAGATTTTTTACAGTGGTGTTGATGAATATGCCAAAGGTCTGATTAGAAATCTCCTGAATTTCACAGAGGGTGCTTTGCCCATCAATTACCTGGGGGTTCCTTTGATATCCAAACGTTTATCATATGCTGATTGTTCTCCTCTTTTAAACAAAATCTCAGATCAATTACAAGCATGTCTGAAATACAAAACTGTCTTTTGCTGGCAGATTACAAGTTATCAAGTGTGCTATACTTGGCATTCAAATATATTGGACTTCAAATTATATTTTACCTGTTAGAGTCTTGCAGAAGATTGATCAAATGTGCAGGAATTTTCTATGGGGCAAAACAGACCAGAAGCATAAAATTCCACTTGTTTCTTGGGATAAGGCATGTTTGAGCAAAAGACATGGGGGACTTGGCATTTATTCTGCAACAATTTGGAATATGGCAACTATGCTGAGATTAATGTGGCATATCCATGTTAATAAAGAAAGTCTGTGGATCAAATGGATTCACAGTGCATACTTAAAAATGATGATATATGGCATGTTCAAGCTAAAAACTGGGACTCATGGATGTGTAAGAAAATATTGAAAGTCAGAGATAAGTCTGTAAACTTTTGTGGAGGTGTAAATAACTTGTTGCAGCTCATTCAATCTTGCTCAGACAATTCTAGAACTGTAAACTTTTGTGGAGGTGTAAATAACTTGTTGCAGCTCATTCAATCTTGCTCAGACAATTCTAGAATCCAGATTTCAGCATTGTACAATGCTCTCTCCCCTAATTCTTCAGTTGTGCCATGGCATAGAACAGTTTGGGAGACTACAAACTTCCCCAGTCACTCCTTTATCTGTTGGTTAGCAATCTAGGATAGGTTGCTCACTATTGACAAATTGATTAAAAGAGGATTAGTGAATACTAACAATTGTTGTTTGTGTACTGGTTCTGAAAACAGAAATCATCTTTTCTTTGAGTGCTGCTATTCAAGAGAAGTATGGTTAAAAGTTATGGATTGGCTCCAATTCAAGTGGCAGTCCTGTGATTGGAATCAACTTGTGAATTGGTACTGTGGTAGACTGAAGGGGAATGGTTTCAAGCAAAGGATTAAAAGGATGGCTCTAACTACAGCATTATATAGCATATGGAGAGAGAGGAATTTCAGGATTTTCAAGTAGAAAGCAAGGCCAGCTGATCAGCTTTTTAAAGATATCAAATTCAGCATTTACTCATTTGTTCTCAATGGCTCGTTTAAAACAGAAGACAGAGAATGGATCATCTCTCAAATTCAGCATTTACTCATTTGTTCTCAATGGCTCGTTTAAAACAGAAGACAGAGAATGGATCATCTCACTATGATATTCATTGAGGAGGATAATTAGCAGTTTTTTTATCCTTATTTTTCAGCTGCTGATAGTTGCTGAGATTTCTTTATGGAGTGTTTGATTGAGTTCTATTTTCTTTGAGCTCTTGATGTCAGTTTTGATATCTCATACATATGTTGAGATTCTTGTTGTACATTCATTTTTACATTTGGTGATGAATAAAATTTTTTTCATTTACCAAAAAAAAAAAGAAATAGTGGTATCTCCATTAATTTTTTTATAGTGGAGAGGATCCGGATTCAAAATTATTTTGAGTGAAAAGCGAGAAAGAGTAAATCCATAAAACAGTTTTTTTTACACCAAAAAGGATACGATTACTCCCAGTACGTTAAGAGAATCCGAATTTGATGTGCGCAGGTTGCAGATTTGCAGTACTTAGGAAATATGGTGTAGATTTTGATGTAAATCAGATCAAATAATCACATGCTTCATAAGTTCATCTCTTTTTTTCTCAATACTCGTGATTTCGAGTTTTTACCTCCTATCTGCGGTCCTTTACCTTTATTATTTTTCACTTGTATTGTATTTAGACATTTATTATTCATCTCTTGTGCATCAATAAAAAAAACGTATAAATCCCTTTTGCTAGTGTCACACGTATATAAATTAATGCTTTAACAATACATGGTGACATAATCGTCATTTTCTTAGCCAGGAGGTTAAGTATTTGAAAATTGACGGTAGTGAAAGGCATGGGCCCTTCAGTAGAATCTTATCATTGATCTGTGGCAGGAAAGAAGAAAAATGATTCAGCAAGCAAATGTCCAAAAGGCTCTCATATTTTTCGAATAACCTCTGGATATCTTAGTTTATATTATACATAATCCATATGTTCTATCAATGTTTTTTGAAACAAAAGTCTAAAACAGTTAAAGCCAATCACCGGATAAAAAGTATGACACACCACACTAGACATTTTTTTAAAAAAATCTTTAATATAAA